TCATCCAGAAACTGGAAAGATGATTTGTTTTTGCTTCAGTGGTAAGCTATTGGTCTGATTAGCATTGACTAGGCTAGATTGGAAAAGTGGAATTCAGCTAATTCAAATTTCACTTTTTAATTTCTAAGTGTACGCATCCATCCATCCATCCATCCAACCAGCCAACATTTATTGAGTAACTGCTATTTGCCTGGCACTGTTTCAGGTTCTAGGGATTTACAAGTAAAGAAAACATCAATCATAGAGTAAATCTCTATGATTAATTAGTTAAAAATTTACATGAGAAAGGTTTTATATATAGGTATTCATGCATTTATATGTTTTCTGTTTGACGATATATGACTATATACTGTTCCTTGATGCTTGCCACAAGCCTGAAAAGTTCATCTTTATCAGTAATAATTATCGTCGTACTTGATACTTCACATAAACACCCACTGAAGGCAAAATATTAACCTACACTGAGATGGCATATACATCTTTTCCTAGGTATTTCCCACTACTGCGCTTTTGCACATTGCTGTTTCTTCTTCCTCTAGCTTTCTTCACTTGTCCACCCAGCAAACGCCTATTCATCATTCAAAACTCTGTCAGACATCATCTTCTATGAGGCCTTCCCTCCCTAAGCTCTTCTCAATAGAATTGACCCCCCTTTCCTCTGTACTATTTCTGGACTTTGTACATATTTGTATTTGCATTGTTATAAATATTCACTAACATATCACTCATTATTTCTATACTGTAAGCTTCTTAAGAATAGAAACACTTGTTTCTGCATCCCAAGTAATTATCAGAATGCATGGCACATACGGGTATTCACTAAATATTTGCTGAACTGAACTGAGAAGCCATTCCCTCTACTATAACTTGTGGAATGCTACAGAAATATGTTTACATTTTACTTTAAATCATATCATGATTAAAAATAAACACAGTATTTTTGACTATTTAATAAGCAGTGGATTTCAACATTTTATTTTCTTTTCTGATGAGAGAAATTATCATCCCTAAAAAGCCTAATAAAATTATATAGTTAGAAACACACTTTAAAAAAAATTCTGTTGTGCCCTTGCCCAGCTCTCCTGACTTAGTGCCAACATCATGGTTATTACAGACTCATCCTATTCATACTGTGTTACATTTACTTGTTTATATATCCAAAGCCCCTCCTGGATGTAAACTCCTCAAGAGCCTGGCCCTTGTCATTTCCACCTTTGTAGTCCTGGTGGACAGCAATGACTGTGAAAGGAAGGAGCTTAACAAGTGTTTGCTGAATGAATAAATAGAAGAATAAATAGGAGACAGTGAATAGAATAAAATCCTAGGTCCTTCTCTTTCTATTAGGACCGTTCTGTGATTATCTTAAGTGCAGAAAATCTGCTACATTCTAAATAAAGCTTTGATTTTGTTGTTGAGTAGGCTAACTTAGACTGTGTGAGTGTGGCAAACTAGGAAAATGAGTGAGAAGGAAAAACGCCTTATTGTGCAAACCTTTTGATTTTATTTTGTCTTTGAAGTTTACACTGAAAGAAGTCTTTTCTAGTTTTGAAACACAGAATCGTGGACTGGGCAAGAGAAAAAAGTAACTGGGTTTTTTATTACGAAAAGAAATGGGTTTGTTACCTGACCAAGGAGGTGAAAGACTTATATGCTGAGAACTATAAAACATTAATAAGGGAAACCGAAGATTACTCAAAGAAATGGAAAGATATCCCATGCTCTTGGATTGGAAGGATTAATATTGTTAAAATGACCATACTATCCAAAGCAATCTACAGATTTATTACAATCCCTATCAAATTACCCATGACATTTTTCACAGAGCTAGAACAAATAATCCTAAAATTCATATGGAACCATAAAAGACCCAGAATTGCCAAAGCAATCCTGAAGAAAAAGTAGAAAGCAGGAGGCCTAACCCTCCCAGACTTCAGACAATACTACAAAGCTACAGTAAACAAAACAGCGTGGTACTGGCACAAAAATAGACATATGAATCAATGGAACAGAATAGAGAGTAAAGAAATAAACCCACAGACCTATAGTCAATTAATCTTCAAAAAGGGGGCAAGAATATACAACGGGAAAAAGACAGTCTCTTCAGCAAGTCGTGCTGGGAAAGTTGGACAGCCACATGTAAACCAATGAAGTTAGAACACACCCTCTCACCATGCACAAAAATAAACTCAAAATGGCTTAATGACTTAAATATAAGACATGACACCATAAAACTCCTAGAAGAGATCATAGGCAAAACATCCTCTGACATAAATTGTTAGGTCAGTCTCCCAAGGCAATAGAAATACAAACAAAAATAAACAAATGGGACCTAATTAAACTTACAAGCTTTTGCACAGCAAAGGAAACCACAAACAAAACAAAGACAACCTACAGAATGGGAGAAAATATTTGCAACCAAAGCGACTGACAAGTGTTTAATTTCATACAACTCATACAACTCAACAACAAAAAAACAAACAATCCAATCAAAAAATGAGCAGAAGACCTAAAGAGACATTTCTCCAAAGAAAACATACAGATAGCCAAAGAGGCACATGAAAAGATACTCAACATTGCTAATTATTAGGGAAATGCAAATCAAAACTACAATGAGGTACCACCTCACACAGGTCAGAATGGCCATCATTAAAAACTCTACAAATAACAAATGTTGGAGAGGGTTAGGAGAAAAGGAAACCCTCCTACTCTGTTGGTGGGAATGTAAGTTGGTGCAACCACTGTGGAAAACAGTATGGAGGTTCCTCAGAAAACTAAAAACAGAATCACCATATGATCCAGCAATCCCACTCCTGGGCATATATCCAGACAAAACTGTAATTCAAAAAGATACATGCACCCCTCTGTTGACAGCAGCACTATTCACAATAGTCAAGACATGGAAACAACCTAAATGTCCATCGGTAGATGAATGGATAAAGAAGATGTGATATATATATATATACACACACATACACACACACACACATACACACAATGGAATACTACTCAGTTACAAAAAGGAATGAAATAATGCCATTTCCAGCAACATGGATGCAACTAGAGATCATCATACTAAGTGAAGTGAGTCAGAAAGAGAGAGACACATACCATATGATATCACTTATATGTGTAATCTAAAATATGACACAAATGAACCTATCTGTGAAACAGAATCACGGACATAGAGAACAGACTGGTGGTTGCCAAGGGGGCAGGGGGTTGGAGGAGGGATGCAATGGGAGGTTGGGGTTAGCAGATGTAAGCTTTTATGTATAGAATGGATAAGCAGCAAGGTCCTACTGTATAACACAGAGAACTATATTCAGTATCCTATGATAAACAATAATGGAAAAGAATATAAAAAAATAATATACATATATATATGTATGTATAATGGAATCACTTTGCTGTACAGCAGAAATTAACACAGCATTATAAATCAACTATACTTCAATAAAAAAATATTGATACAAGAAAAGAAGAAATGGGTTTGTTAAATATTTCACTATAGTTCAAAAGCATTGGGGATCCTTTTCCCTCTACTAAGCTGGTATTAAATCCACAATGTCCTCGTATTCTGATTGTAGGTGATAGGATGATTTTTAATTGAGTCATTTGATGTTTTTTTGTGATTTTTGGCAACATGAAAGTGTGGCTGCTTAGTAGAATCTCACCAGATGCACAGCAGAGTTAGATACTCTCTAACTTGCAGAAAATTATGTACACATGATCTTTACAACAGTAGCATTTGAAAAATGTGGTTAGTTAGTTTTGAAACTTTACTCAACTTTCAAGGAAATGTAACATCTATTAAATACATTATTACTCACTAGTGACTGGCAGTGACAAATATGCTCATTAGGTGACCTTGAAAAGATGTTATTTCTATAGGAACCATTTAATAAACAGTCATTTTTAAAATGAAAAATGTCAGATGAAGACCTCAATCTTATGTTGTTTCTTCATACATAAACCACTTTAAAAAGCACGGAATAACAATTTGTGAATATATGGAGCATACAAATGGCATAATTTTTCCTCAAAAGTAATTCTCTAATTTCTGTATCTTCTAGGACCCATTGACTTTAGTAAGTTAACATCATAAATTATATCAATGTTGGGAAAAGTGTGAAATGGTGATATATAGTTATTACACTTTGTAATTTTCTAAGGCATTTCAAAAACAGTACCCCAAAATTCTTAAATCAGTATTTGATTATTATTTAAATAAGATCAAATTTGATTTCTTCTTTATTTTCCAGACAAGGAAAATAGTATTTATAAATTATGGGACTAATTCCAAGTCATGGACCAGGTAGGAGAATTTATAATCAGACCACAAAATCAGACTTAGTTCATTACTTTTTTCTCTGTCTCTGTGCACCTTTCATATTTTATATTTTCTTGCCCTTAACAATTTGCCTCTGCATTTCCATGTTAAATGAATTTTGATTATAATTTGATAGATATCCAAGTAACTGCATATGAAAATTCATTCATAAGGAGTAGAGAAAAAAACCTTATATATTAAAACATTGTATGGGTATATATAAAGATGAATATCATTAACATTTTTTTCTATGAGATGAGCGTGCATATTTAAATATAACTAACCTGGGCAATTCAGCATGAGAATACTATAAGATTAATACAGATTTTAAAAATATCAATAGCTGAACATAAGCAAGAAAAGTATGAAATGTTAATCACACCCCTGAGAAGGGACTCCAGAAATAAATTAGAAAAGTGTCAATCTCAAGGGTGCACTGAATCCAGCAAATAGAAGGGGCAGTCAGAAAAATGAGACAAAAATGGTATTTAAAGTTGTTTCCAGAAGTACTTCAATTTGATTATTATTAAATTTAGGGGAGACATAATCTGTGGTTGTCCTAAAGTGAAGTGACCTTTGACCTTCAAATTAAAAACACAGAAAGAAGCTCTTCATATTTGCCTTAGCAAAAAGGTTGCAAAACAATTTTCTGAAGTATTATGGAACTTACCTGTTTCCATTTTTCCGTCCTGAGCTGCAGGCCCATCGGGAATCACGCTTTTCACCTGCAGAAACTCATCAGGCTCATCTCCACCAATGATGGTAAATCCAAACCCCATGTTGCTCTTTTTTAGTGTGGTGCTGAGAAATGTTCCCTTCAACTGGGATGCATCCCGGGTAAAGAGTGGTTTTTCTACATTGGCCGACAGAAGTTAAAAAAGAAAAAGCACAGTTAAGGCATGTTCTTACATGGGGAAAAGCCAGCCACTGAGCAGCAATCCCAGGGGTAACTGTGGGGTTAATTATAGTAAATGCAAGCAGGTGTGACTTCAGGAGCGCACCTCTAAGCACTTCCCACAAACGCAGAGCAGTCCCAAGCATGCAGGGAAAGGCGAAAGAGCTGCTTGGTTTGGAGAGAGATTTTTTTGTCATCATTGTCTCCGTTCACTAAATTCACCTTCTTGTGCTTAAAAGGGGTTGAATCAACAGGTGAAGATAAAGCAGAGCCTAAAATTATCCAGACACATCTGGATACATTTCTCTTGTTCTGAAAAGGTCCAGGTAGGAGGTATGTGTGAGTGGCCGGTGCTGCCCCAAACCTTGAAGGGATAGGACTAGAAGACTGAAATGCACTATGTTGTTTCCAAAAAAATAGGACCAGTGGAATATTAGCACCTCTTCAAATGTCTAAATTGTTTAGAAAGAATGCCTGGATGTGGGACTGAGTTAGCTTTTGCTTATATTATGAGATGCTCTAAAGATAACCAGATAAATCCATTTCTACTGACCTGAGAGCATTTAGTATACTCTAAAATGTGAGCAAGACGCAAGCCAATATCTCTAGATTTAATTATGAATGTAAAGGTAACATATTTTGTCATAATATGTTGACATGTTCAAATCATATACCTAAATAATCTGAACAGAACTTGAACCCACTCATAGAGCTTTAACTAGTAATTTGTTATTTAACATGCTTTTTCAGCTATGATCGGTAGTAAGTATATTACTACATATATTAAATGCTTGAAAAATAATAGTCATACTAGGAATTAGAATTAACATCTGCTTTAAATGTTACCACTGTCAAGTATTTTATATATTTTTTTAGTTGTTCCATTTTGGGTGATATGATTTGTTATTTAAAACAGCCACACTGTACATGGTGACTTAGTTAAGTATTCTGTCTGCTGGTGTTCCATTTTAGGTGATGTGTAATGGACAAACTATAAAGACATGAGTCATTCTATTGGAATTTTACTTTGTCTATTTACACATCTCATATATCTTTGTGAAGAAGACAGAGCACTTCTTTAAAATATAAATAAAAACACACATAATCTTGTCACCTCCGTTTCCTTTATGAAAGTAAAGTTTACAATTTGGAGAGAAGTTCAACAGTGAGACCTTTACATTCATCCTTATCGTGCTGTAGTGATACGGTGTGAAATCAACCGCAGGCATATCTAGACTTCCCGATTACCAGAGCCTCCTTCGTGCTTTCACGTGTGAGTGAGAGCCCACTAAGATGTGAAAAGTGCGTGCAGCATCTCATCCCCGTACGTGGCTCCAGGGTGAAGTGAGGTGCAGCAAGCAACCCAGGACATACCGATGCGCCCGGGCCTCCAGGCGAGGTGGCGCCCATAGTAAGACAGGTCACTCACGCTGCGCGACCGCTCCCGGGCGGCGCGGGGGCAGGCGTGTTTGGGCCTAGGTACTGTCGATGAGTAGCTGTCTACTGTCACAAAGGAGAACAAGCCTCATTCTTGTGCTTGGTCATTTGAGGACAAACTTATGAGTCTCTATGAATCTCTGCAGTTTACGGTACCACGGTCATACCCTTTCAGCTCTACCTGGCGACGTGCTGTAAATTCCTATAAGGTGCTACCCGAGGCGTTACATTCACTCGTGAGTGCTAAATGCGTGAGTCTGGAGACAGAGCAAACACCCAGCTAAAGCTAATTGAGGGGTCTGGGGAAAGCAAATCAATTATAGGAAATGGTCCAAGGTAAAGGCCTATTTGGAGAGCAGGCAGTTCGATACAGTCTTTCTCTCTGAAACACTGCGTGCTGACAGGTACTAACCTCGGAAACCTGGGGCCTGCAGGGGCTTTGCTCCAAGTTCTGTGTGGGGCATGTTATGCTGCTGTAGCTTCCTTTTTGCTTCCAGGACAGGGTTTTCAAACTGTGTTCTTCTATTTATGTGGCTGAAAAATAAAATTTCAAATTAGGATAACAGTGGGGCAAAGTCATTTAAGAGAACATATGAATAGCTCTAGCTGAATACCCCACCAGCACGCAGTCAGGCCTCTGCTGGGGCTGGCCTGTGTACGGTACGCATTTCCCTGACAAGAGCAGAGCTCTCAATGGCTCTATCATACGGTATTGTATTTAAGTTATGCATGATTGAGCCAAAAGAACTAGAACGTGAACTAGCTTTCTGGTCTACCGTGTTAGTTTGAGACGAGTTTGGTGCATTCAAATAAATGGCCAACAAATGAAATTTATACCAAATGGTGCTGAAGAAAAACATATTTGTAAAGTGTTTCTAAGCTTTGTAAAGTCCCAATATCCAACCACATAAGTATAAGGTCTATTCACTGATTGCTTTACTCTTAGAGCAACTGAAGTCCACACATTTTAGAATCAGACAGACTTGGATTAAAGGACTGTGTGGAAACACTCCTAAGGATATTTAGGAGTTGTGGAATACCTGTAGGATGATTGATACTGAGATCAGTCAAAAGCAGAGTATTTACATTCTCCCTAGTGAGACAATAAACTTCTAGATATCAGACACAGAGCATCTTTCAGCAAGTGTGGATCAGCTAAACCAAGGGCTTAGAGTTGAAGAAGTCCTTATAGTATTCTTACAGTGTGATGCATTCTTGTATGAAGTTTAGAGTTTCTTGTCCACGGAGAGGGTGGGAACCATAACCCTGCCTAGCAGCAATGTCAAGTAGCTCTTTCTCTACGTATACATGCCCCACTAGAGCGGGGGCATGTACACTGATTTTGGTTCTTTGTACAAACAAAAATAGGATTATTGTATGAGAGCATGAAGAAGAGAGAGGGCTTAGAAGAGGAATGAACAATTACTCAGTACTTAACTCTGTGCCAGGTACTATACACAAATTTCCTCAGTCAAGTCTCATGGCAACAGTCTTGAATTCTAATTATCCCCATTTTAAAGGTGATGAGACTGACACACAAGAGGTCAAATGACTTGCTCTAAATCACGTGCCTAGAAGTGAAAACGCTGGGAATGGACCACATCTGTCTCTAAAATTCATCCTTTACCTTACATACCTTCTCTTTTCAATGTATGATTTCACATTGACGAGTGTACACATACTTAATGTGCACACGCAATCCTCTTATTTTAGGTCTATAAATACTCGTAAGAAAAGGAAGGAGGTAAAAGAAACAAAATCTCAACAACCAATTTTCTGTTAGTATAAGTCAGATAATTCCTGGTGAGACAGAAAAGCGATTGTCAGAAACACAATAAGACGACTGCAGTATCTAGTTACTTCCTCATGAGGTCGGGGCAGGGGAGCTGCTGCCACACAGGCTCTGGAGTCACCTAGTCCTGGATTCAAAATCCAGCTCTGCCCCTTGATTTGCTGTGTGACCTTGCACAAGTTATTGAGTCTGAACCTCAGTGTCTGCATCTCTAAGATGGGCACAGTATTGGCTTCCTCCTGGGCAGTTGTGAGGATTCAATGAAATAATGAATATTGGCCCAGGGTTTCAAGCATAGACATGCTCAGTAACTAGCAGCAGCTGTTATCATCATGGCCAACACCATCATCATCTTATCATCACTGACACTGTCCTCATTTTGAGTCCAGAGAGGAGGCTTTACCGGGGGGAGGGTCTTTAAAAGCACCAGAACCTCTCGCTAATATTGCCGCTGGCATAGGTTAGGATGCTATTTAGGAAAGGGGTGCTGATAACGTTCTTTGGTAACGGTACTCACTGGTACGGGGTTCACAGTAAATGTGTCTTACATAAGATTATTTTCCATTGGAAGTAAAATCTGCTGTACTGCTCTTGTCACCAAGGAGTCACCATGATCCGTGGTGTGTAGTGAACTACGGTATGAGCTTGCAAAGCTTCCTTAACTCCATAAACTCTGACAGCACCACTTTATTTCAGGAGGGGCAGATTCGAAGCCCCTCTTCCCTTTTCTCCATTGTCTCTTACTAAACTCCTTTGAAATCTTCCTATTGCCTAAAGAAACATTCTTCCTGACTCCACCCTTACTCATCTCCATATCTTCTCCTTTGGCTGCATCACCACATGCACCTTTTGCTCTGGATACACTCGGAGCCACTCAAATCAGCAACACCCTATCAAGCCTCTTCTCTTTTCCCGTGAGACTGAGAGCATTAGTGGTGTAGCAGCTGAAGCAAGACAGCCTGAGTCTGAGGTGGCATCTTAGGCAAATCACTAAATTCTCTGAGCACCAATATCCCCATCTGTAAAATAGGGACATTAATATCTACTTCTTGGAGTTGCTGTGAAGATAAGAGAAATAATGTTTGCAAAGTACAGATACACAGGGAGGACCCCGCACTTGTAAGGTATAGTTGTTCTTTATTTTCAAAGTATAGTTATTCTCTATTACTATTATTTATAAGTGCTGTTGCTGTTATTGTCATTACTATTACACTGTTTTTTCCATCTGTTCCATAACTCCTTCTCCAACCCCACCCAGCAACATTCTCTGCCTGTGTTGTGCTCCTCCCCTTGGCTGTCATAAAACCTTCAACGGACCTCTGTCATCACAGTTTATTTATTTTCTTACACCCTGCCTCATAGTCAAGAGAATCTGAGGCCCTTTTAAAGAACAACAACAAAGAAAAGTAAACAAAATCCAGGGTGAAGTTAGTTCAGTCTAGGTGGACGATCAATAGACAAAATTAATAATATAGGATCCTGTTTGTTTATTAGAGTTATGTTGCAAATTAGCTTTGAGCTTTCAAGCTGCTAATTCAGCAAGCAAGAGAAACCAGTTATATTCTTCACAGTATTTAAGATAAACTCAAGACAGTCGTTCTGAAGGACATAGTATTCCTGTTACTGACTCTCCTGAGATCATTCTTTCCAGGTCTTGGATAAAGGTGTTTCTGTGATGTAGTATACAACATCCTAAATGATAATGACACGATAATGAATTTAGTAACCTTATCATACTGTGTTTTAATAACTGATTTTCATGTTTATTTCCTTCTCTAGACTGTGCACACCTGTATACAGGGTCCATGTGTTATTCCGTTTTGTATACTAAGCACTGGACATAGTGAGAGATAATATTTTTTTCTGTTACATGATGAATATGTGTTTTAAAACTTTAGTCTGCAAATATATGTTACTAATTTTGAGAAATCAGAAACAGTTCTGAGGTGTACCAAAGTATCAGCTTTCTTCATTTCCTATCTGTTCTGTTTCTGTTTTTCTAGGTCGTTGTTCATCATGTGCATAACTTTATTCTTAGAAAATACATTACAAGAACTTTCTGGGGTAGATTTACCATACAGTTGGGTTCCTCCAACTGGCTACCTGCATATAATTACTTCCTTAGAAAAGTCATAGCCACTTGCTTTACGGAAACCATGTTGACAAGATTCCATTCACCATCAAAGTGAAGTTCTACATTTCACAGAGAATGAAAATACCAATGAACTCGTCTGGCATGACTTGTACCTGACAAAGAGTGGAAGCTGGGATGGCTTTAGTGTCCTGAGCTAATTGCTACAGAACATTTGCATTGTCACAAATAAAGTCATTCATTTAGAATTTAAAATGCTCCCAAGCTTTAAAAGAGCTATTACAAAGAAATATGATTGTCGCTGAATAGAGAAGCCTTGTCTTCCTTGTGCTTCCAATAAGAATAGTTTGAAGTCCTTTTAGCAAGGATTTGGGGGACTTACAATATGTAAAAGGACGTGAATGACAAATGTCGTCCTCCCCCTCATTGTTTAGGCTCTGTGAGAGAATTATTAGCTAGTTCATCCAGCTCTGTACTGAACAGGAGCCTGGGAAGCTACCAAGAGTTCTTATTCTTTAGTTCAATCTAGTTTATTATCATATTTTAGTAATAGAATTTTTAGGTGTTAAGAGCTAAGGGGGTAAGAGACATATTCTGAGGAGGGTAGATCCCAACAACCCCATTTCCTTTTACAAAAAGGAAAGACTACTGATATGAGATCCTTCCATGTGGGAATGGCAAAGGGAACACGATATTCAAGGATGACATTCCATCACCTTCTCTTTGCCAGTACAGTCACTCATTTGTAGCTTAACTTCTACCTCCCCTTTTCATTATGGAATGGAATGGAAACTTAAGATAAGTTCGTATGTGGCAGTATTCTGTAGCTCTGGATGAACCTGAAGAACTTAAAAAGCAAACAAAAACGGAGAGGACTCAGGCCCACCCTAACTCAACTGAGCCACAACCTCCAAATGGGGTACGAGCATTGACATTTTTAAAAAAAAAAGCTTCCCAGATAACTCTGTAGTGCAGCGAGGGTTGCAGTCCCCTAAGTTAGAAGCTGAGAAGGTGTGAGAAGGTAGTTGAATAAGGACTTTCTTGCCTTATTCAACTGGAAGTCTCTTTTTCTGTGTAGGGCCCTGGGGAATACTAGGAAATGCTCTTTTGCTCTAGAAGAGAGGACACGTGCCAACAAAAGGGTGAGACATGCAACAGAGGGAAGGAAATCTTTGCAGCTGATGGATGATATGCTGCCAGAGGTAGTCCCAGCTCAAAGTCCTGTGTGACTGCCACCTCCTTCACCGTGGGGAAGCAATGGAAGAAACGGGGAAAGTCGTACATCCCGAGCCCATCAGTACACAAAGGACAGGTCTGCTGGGTGACGAAGGCCATCATCTGACCCTCACTACCAGCGCTCCCTCCACACTCCAGCTTGTTAACTCTCCACCAGGCTTCTCCTGGGTTTTTGGAGAGGGGCACTTTTAGTGCATAGTCACAAATGACACCTTTTGTACCCACTGGTCACTATCACATCGTCTTGACTTCAGCTGACAGATTAGAAATGGATCTTTGGCTCAATGTGAGAGACGAAGACAGCAGCTTTCAAGTGGAGATTGCACCACAAGTAAAATATTTCCAAGATGATCAAGGTGGCTACGCTAATTACTCCAATGCATGAGGTAGCCAGTGCTCAATAAATATTTGTTG